TCTTCTGAGCCATCAAGTGCCGCCTCGCTTTCACTCGATCTACGCAGGCCACACGCACAACGCAGCAGCGACTCTTCGAGAATGCCAGGTCAGGCCTCGCACTGGGGACCTCCTCTCCTTTTCGCAGCAGGAACAACAAAGAAGTTGTCGTGCTCAATGGGACAAGCTATCAAAAGCGAGGCGCAGCGGCGGCATAGTCACTGCTGCTCGAGAGTGCCAGATCACGTGCGCAGTGAAGCTTGTCTACACTCACGAGAGTCCAACTGGCATTTATTTCTTTCTGGCTGAAATCTTCCAGTTCCATGCGCAAGAGCACGGGGTCTGCTTAGATGAGCTCCGCTTCAAAGAGCGGGTTGCGTACTTACGCCGGCACTTCCCTCTTATATGGTATGACTGCGCTTGCACGCTGCACCGCTTCATGCGTGCCAAAAAGCGCAGACGGCGCACAAAGCTGAGCAGGGCCATGAGTAAAATTCGTTTGGTCATCGACAAATTCCACTTTAAAAAAGGTCATTCGGGCTGTCGCCCCGATGGCACGAGGCCATTGCCGAAGGTATGGCCAGACAACAGGCTTAAGTTGAATGACAGCGCGTGTGAACAATCATACGCGTTTGTGAAGCGAATTGCTGTCGCAGCCAGGCGAATGACACCTGTGCGAGGCCTTTTGTTCGTTCTACTCATCTTACAAGAGCGCAACATATTTCTGGACCGAAACCAGCAGTCTCGAGCGAAGCGAAAACAGCACTCGCGCATAGAGTTTGTCCAAAAGCGGCAGGCTACTGAGCGCGATGAAGCTTTTCCGTTTCGCCGAGCTGCGTCAGTCTGAAGTCACTTGTTCGGCCTTGTCAAATCGGTTTTGTAACAGTCGCACTGACTTTTACATGTTTCAAATCTTACAACGCCGGTAGAGAATATGTTATGGTTGCGAGCCATATAGTCGTTGCGCGGTGTCCTAGGCCGAATTACAGCAACGGAGGACATTGCTTGCAAGTGTCGCGGGTTCAGTGTCGACACGTCTGCAAAGCAGACTGCGTTGCTTTGCCCTGTCTCCACGACTGGCGCGCCAGCGCGCGGTATGTTTCACTGCTCCGGCACATGTACTGCCTATCACGCACGCAAAAATGTGGAGCAGCGAAACTTTGAGGCATGCTCGCCATGCCTATTTCGTACTGATACGACGGCATGATTCTGGAACAACTGACCGTGTGAGTCTTACCAAGTTTTGCTCCTTACCGCATCTTGCGCATTTGTCACAACGGAACACACCGGGAGAACCTTATATGCGCGCGAGCTTTTCCGTGATGTCTGCGGAAAAGGCTCTTCCGTGATGTCTGCGGCGCTCTTTATTCACAAGCGCTAGCTTCCTTTTGCGCGAGCCGTGTAATGATGCTGAGCGCTTTGCACGTTCTCGGCGACAATCGCGCTCCTTGCGATTGCTCCACCGACGTCCGCACGCCCAAGCGAAGCCTGTGTCGACGTGATGTCTACAGTAATTTCCGGCCGGTGCAACATGATTGCCTGCGCAGTTACAGCGTTTCGCATTGGTGTTGCATGTCCTTGCGAGGGTTATGCGTGTCGTCCACTGGGCTTGGTTCGGAATATTCTCGTCTCTGCGTCCTCTTTTTTCGCAGGCCCCGAACCCTAGCGCGTTTCTCACGTATCCTACTATGCTTCAGCCAAGCTTGCAGAACACAAGGCCGGGAACACCTGCGTAGCGCAGCGCGCAGTTGGGCTGCGCCCAAGGAATAAAATTCATTTACCCTGCATTGCCAACGGATTCTGAGCTCTCGGAGTAGCTTCGTGTCTCTGGAGCAATCGCGCTGCTTAGCTCTTTGCCTCCCAATCTGCAGGCATTTATCTAGCTCAAACGGTGGGTCGGGAGGAACACTCAAAACGTCTGCGAAGGCACTTGTGTGATACATTGTGTGCCGCAAAGACCCGCGAAGCATTTCGCGTAGCTTAGTAACATTGACATGGGCGAAGCCACTTTGCCAAGCCACTTTGTGGTGATAATTGGTTATGTGCTTTCATGGCGATAGCATGCCGAAGGCTGACGTTTATAGAGTCACTTTCAGAAGACTGCCGGAGGACTATGACAAGACTAAGCGAGAAGGAGACAGAGAGTCAGAGACAAAGTTAAAAGGGTGGATTAAACTTATTACCCCCTAACCTAGAGGTGGGTGCCCAAGAGTTTCCGCCCCCGAGCTTATCTCTGTGCTTAAGCGTTTCAGTGTGCCCGCATCCACCTTGCAGCTTCAACATTTTTTGCTTCAGGAAACAAATTGATAGAATGAATGTGCCCTGCAATAATGTATGAACATATTTGCAATATATATATATATATAGATATATGTAGTTGTATATGTACAGCCTACAAAAGTGTTTGCCCCCTTATCTCTATGTTTAAGCGTTTAAGTGTGCCCGCATCCACTTTGCAGTTTCAACATTTTGCTTCAGGAAACAAATGACAGAATGAATGTGCCCTGCAATGAACATGTTTGCAATATATACATATATGTAGTTGTATATACACACATTTTTGTATATATATATATATATGTATACAAAATATTTGTATTTTTATACCTACCTGAAGTTCGTTTTGTTTGATGCCCTTGCCCGATGCATTTCCTGAGGGCGTAAGACCTCCTTCTCAAGAAAAGTCCATGATGCGCGACGCCGGGCTGGCTCGAAAAGAACGGGGCCCCCCTCTTGATATGAGACAGCCGGCAACTCGATGTATCAGTCGCAGTGTGTAAAGAACATGCTCGTGCGTGCCTCAAAGTACGCGATGCGGAGTACATGTTCCGCAGCAGCGAAACAAGCCGTGCGTTTGCGGGTCAATCGCAGAGATTAAGCAACGCACTCTGCTTCGCAAGGGTGTTGACACCGAACCTGCGAGATGCAAACGCAAGGATCCGCGCTGCCATCGTTCGACCTGTCAACACTGCGTGACCGGTACAGTCAAGTAGGCTAGTCGCATCGATTTGGCTTGATGGTCTCCCTGCCGTTGCGGAACGCATTGTAGCGGGGTCGCATCGATTCTTGAATTTAGGTTGCGTTTAGCATGTTTTTTCTCGAGTCCTCTCAGAGCCAGCCCGCAAGCAACAGCAGCAGCAACAACCAAAACAACAACCAGCAAGCCGATCAAAACTATACGCAGAACACCCATTCTCCGAACAGTTTTTTTCAGAGCAGCTTGACAGATGCGTTTGCATTGTTTCGCGTGCATTTGCGGGACCTGTCGGTTAGGCCACCGGGGCGTATGGCTGCTTTTGGACCTCGTTTGAACCTCGTTTGGGCCTCGTTTGGGGCCTCGTTTCTGTCCCCAAAACCAAGTTTGCTTCGTCTTTTAGCAGCATTTTCCGCAACATCGTTGGGTTTTCGTGCGGGAAGTCTTGTTGGAGTATGGTGGGCCTTGCTCCTGCCTTGCTCCTGCCTTGCCCCTGGCTTGTCCCTGCCTTTCTGCTGCCTTTGCTGTCTTGCTGCTGTTGCTGCCTTAGTACCTTGCTTTGCTTGCTGCCGCATTGCAAGCGAATGGGCTTCGGCTGATTGCAGTCACCAGCAGGCCAATGTAGTTTGCGATCATTGGCACCAGACTTGCAAAATGCTTCAAATGATGAAACGCAACCTAAACATGGAGTTGATGTGACCCTGATGTGACCCGGTCGCATCGACTTTGTCTCATAGGAGTGCGACACATTTCAAAAAGGTTGATGTGCCTTGCCCATCCAACTGTATGTGGCTCGCAACCAGACCATGCTCTTAGTTGTGATGTTTTAGACATATATCTATATATGAATATATACATGCCTACATACACACATACAAACATATATATGCAGATATCGCCTGAAGATTCAGAATAATAAGATGAAACGGAAACTCTGGATGCTTCATTTATGAAGGGCTGCGTGGCCCATGGATGCCCAGACCGTCAACATGTTGACATGCGAAAAAGGAGAGGCATTGGTGGTGGAAAGCCTGGTGGAGCGCTAGGCACGCGAGCACCGACCGAGATGGAAATGCGCGAGATTTTAGAAGAAACCCGACGTAACCTCCCTAGCAATGTATGAAGCCTGAACCAAGAAAACAATACCCAGGTTTCCGTTTCAACCTCATGCCCATTGTTTTTTCCGTGCGGATTGCGTGGTCTAACCGGTCACCTAGTTCAGACGCTCGGCCGGCCAGTCAGCTTGCAGGCCGGCTCGGTTTGTTTTCTGGCCGCTCAGCCGGCTGCCCATTTCAGTTCGCCGGGTAGTGAATAATTGACCGGTCGGCTTGCGGTTGACCCACTCGAGTTAGCCGGTTCCACTAGCCAATTCGCCAGTTAGCCGGTTATTAGTTTGGTTGACCGCTCAACTGGTTCCGGTTGCTTGGTTGGCCGGTTCGGTTGGCTAGTTAACTGGTCTGGTCCTGCTCGGCCGGTTCGGGTAGTCGGTTTGCCGCTTGGCCGGTTTAGCTAGCTGGTTGGTTGGCCGGTTGCCCCGGTTGCTCGGCTGGGAGTTGGTCGGTTGGCCGGTTGGCCGGTTCGGTTCGCCGGTTGCTGGTTTGCTGGATCGTTGGGTTGACCAGTTGGCCGGCGGCCGACTCGGTTTGCCGGTTGGCTAGTTAGCCGGTCGCCGGTTCGCCGGTTCGCCGGTTCGCCGGTTTGCCGGTTGACGGTTTGACGGTTCGCCGGGCGGCCGGTTGCCGGTTCGCCAGTCAACCGGGTAACCGGGCAGCCGAACCGGCTAACCGGCCAACCGGCCAACCGGCCAACCGGCCAATTGGCAAACCGAACCGGCCAACCGGCTAACCAGCCAACCGGTCAACCGGCCAACCGGCCAACCGGCCAACCGGGAGGGGGGGGGGGGCGGTTCACCGGTCCGGTTTGCCGGTCGACGCCATACTCAGGAAACCGTATCCCACAAACCACTCCAGGCCTCGTCCCCCAAAATAGGGGACCCCAACAAAAGCACAAGCCTTGGCAGCATTTTTGTTCGCCGAGTCGGCGCAAGGAGAGGGCCGCCGGAAAGCGCCCGCACAGTTCAACTGGAGGACAGCTCAACCAAAGAACCAAGCCCAAACCGGGTGCCCTCAAAAAGGACTACCCACACGATCTCAAGACAGACGGCTACCCACGTGATGCAGGTGTGTTTTTGGGCAACTTGCCAGGTCACAGCGCATGGTTCCTTGCATGGGCCAATGGCCCCCCAAACCTTCCTCTGGCAGGAGCGGGTGGCTTTCTACGACTCGGATGAGGAGCTTCCATGTGCGGAGGGCTCAGGAGATGTGTTCAAAGATGTTCGTGTCACTTTGGCTGCGAGCTTTCGTCCTTTGCCCTTATTCGTTGCAAGTGCACTTTGGGGACTTGCGGCAATTGCCCAAGCCCGGAATGGCAAGGGAAAAGGTCAAGCATGCAGTAGAGCTGTGCCCGCGGAGGAGACAGTCTCCAGTTGCGAGGGTCCCAAAGTTCAGCAGGGGTCAGCGTTGCAGCCAAAGAGATGACCTGAGTGTTTGCCGAAAACGGAAGAGTTTGCAGCATGCCAACTTGCTGTCTACTTTGCAACTGGATTTGCTTCTCCACCTAACCAGCCAGAGGCCGGAGCAAGCAAGCAGCTAAGAGAGAGAGAGAGAGAGAGAGAGGGAGAGGGAGGAAGATAGAATCATTACAAGTATCATTGTGCCACGAACTTCAGCCACCCAAGCGATGTGTGCCCAAGCGACGAAGTGCAACCCATGCCACACTGACAATGAATAAAGACCCCACTCGTAGGTCTTGTTCAACCCACCAAGACCTCAAATTTGTACATTTGCCCTGCTTCAGCGGTCCATCAACTTTCTGAACAGTGGCTGCTTGTTTTATTGCAAGCCGGGCAGTTGATCAGCTAAGGGGAAATCCAACCAAAGCATCCCTGATCACAGCTCGCTCAGAGGTGTCCATTTTGGAGCAGCTGGGTTGAAGATGGATGCCTTTGGATTCAGTTCGCCCAGTTGTATTAGGTTCTTCCCCTTTCAGGGAAATCAGTGTTGGATGTGCGTAAGCTGTCCTTTCTGCGATTTGTTGGGCATGGATGGGATTTGACTCGAAGCTGTCGGTTGGTTTCAGCAGGGTTGCCTATATGTCCCCTTTTGGTGGCTTTGAGGAAAATTTTGTGGCCCAAGGTCCTTTGGTGGATGTTTTAAACATGTTAGCCCGTGGTTTAGGGTCATCAGGTTTGCTGGTGTAGGGGGATCAGGCCGGCGGCCGAACCTTTCACCGGCACCATCTCAAAATCCTCCTTTGCGGTCACTTCCAAAGCACAAGGTGATATTCCTCGACCATGCTTTTCGGATCAAACACTTCCAACAAGTTGCAGAGCCTGATGTGTATGGTCCTCCTTTTGAATGACAGGTTGACATTAGCCCAAAACTCATTTGGCCGTCGCTTTGTCCCAGGCACCTCCAGAAGTGGAGGGCGAACGGTCGAACGTGGAGATCGATGCTTGTCAGAGTTTGGCGGTTCCAAGAGAGTCCGCGAGAAAGTGGCGGGCCCATTTCCCGGATGTTCTTTGCCCAAAAGGCCTGGAATTTAGACAACCATCAATGGTCAGGGTTCCCAGCCAGGGAACCATGATCATGGCCTTTGCGAGTGGCTCCAAGGCAACTCAAAGTTAAAGCGAAACTTGCCCATTTGGGGGGTTGTAGCACACATCCTCGAGGTGGACAGGGCGAGTGCTTTGAGCCAGAGCTTGCCTTTTCATTTCAATTTGGCCCCTTTATCTTCTGAAAAGGCCAATCATTCTTTCCTCCTGCCCTCAGCCAGCTCAGCTTTCCTGCAAGGATCGCCTTTGCGCGCAATAAGTTTGACAGCTTTGGCTGGCGGCTTCCCAAATGGTTAAGACGGATGTGCTTTGGGGGGGACCCCTTTCGTTGATTTGAAGGGACACCAACAAAAACACCAACAAACACAACAACAACAACAACAACAACAACAACAACAACAACAACAACAACAACAACAACAACAACAACAACAACAACAACAACAACAACAACAACAACAACAACAACAACAACAACAACAACAACAACAACAACAACAACAACAGCAACAGCAACAGCAACAGCAACAGCAACAGCAACAAACAACAGCAACAGCAACAGCAACAGCAACAGCAACAGCAACAGCAACAGCAACAGCAACAGCAACAGCAAACAACAACAGCAACAACAACAACAACAACAACAACAACAACAACAACAACAACAACAACAACAACAACAACAACAACAACAACAACAACAACAACAACAACAACAACAACAACAACAACAACAACAACAACAACAACAACAACAACAACAACAACAACAACAACAACAACAACAACAACAACAACAACAACAACAACAACAACAACAACAACAACAACAACAACAACAACAACAACAACAACAACAACAACAACAACAACAACAACAACAACAACAACAACAACAACAACAACAACAACAACAACAACAACAACAACAACAACAACAACAACAACAACAACAACAACAACAACAACAACAACAACAACAACAACAACAACAACAACAACAACAACAACAACAACAACAACAACAACAACAACAACAACAACAACAACAACAACAACAACAACAACAACAACAACAACAACAACAACAACAACAACAACAACAACAACAACAACAACAACAACAACAACAACAACAACAACAACAACAACAACAACAACAACAACAACAACAACAACAACAACAACAACAACAACAACAACAACAACAACAACAACAACAACAACAACAACAACAACAACAACAACAACAACAACAACAACAACAACAACAACAACAACAACAACAACAACAACAACAACAACAACAACAACAACAACAACAACAACAACAACAACAACAACAACAACAACAACAACAACAACAACAACAACAACAACAACAACAACAACAACAACAACAACAACAACAACAACAACAACAACAACAACAACCAGATTCCAGGGTCACCCAATTTTGAGACAAGCCTAGGTTACCTAGATTCATTTGCCCTATATAGCCTGTGTTTGCACTTGACAGCACAAATATTACATGCTCCTGTCTTTGGTTCGTGCGCAAAACGTGCTACATACTTGGGGATGCTATTGGGGAGCTCGTGTGAGAATTTAGCATTGTTTAGCGTTGGGCTCCAGGAGCGCGTCTGTTTTTTATCATATCCAATCCTTGAAGATGTCCCTAACACTCTTTTCAGGGTCCCAATATAGGTCGGTGTTGTCGAACTATTATGGACCTGCTGGGGCCTCCTCAAAACTAGCGCAACATGTCACCTGAACTGGTGCCCCCATTTTTTCAGAACCCTCCGAAGCTGCTTTGCAGTTCTTCATGTCAGATCGTCATAGTGACCCTTGTTGTGCCCCACTGATGGCAGATTAGGATTAGGGATCCCTCGCTTTTAAACAGCCAGACTTGAAATAGCCGGGGCAGCCACGGACGCAAGTGAAAAGGCCATCGCCCTTCAGCGTCGGTCGGAGCCCTTAGGACAAGAGCCAGACAGGTGCCTTGCTCAGATGATCTCAGGTTCGGCTTGAAGATTGGGGGCTGTGAGTATGGCATGTTGAACCGTTTCTTCGCTTGTTGACTTAAGGCTTCATTCAATCTGGTAGTTTTTACTTGCTGGCTCCCAGCCATCCCCTTAGCCTTTTAAGTGTTTAGTAATAGTTGCCATTTAACCCACTAAAAGTTAAACTTTTAGCGGGGGATCTGAGGGCAGCCCAGATTCTAGGTGGTCAGGAGCATTTTGCCCCAAGGAATGCCTGGAGCCACCTAGCATTTGGGTTGGATCCGGCTTTCGTTCAGAATGAGTCCTTTTGAGTGTTGTGGTCATTTCAAAGTTGATTTCTCAAAACTAACAGGGGAGCCCTGTCACTAATGAGGCCGGATTGTTCAAGCAATCCTTTTGCCAGATGGCACTTAGCTTTTTTTTATAATGGCGTAAATTGTACGGATTAGGATTGCTCACTTCCTGAGTTCCTGGACTTTAAAATTGTTTGAAGAAGAATTGTCTTGGTAAATAAACAGCTTGGCACTCGATCGGAAGTGAGAGTAGGCATCCTTGTTGAACAACCCCGTGGAACGGCCCCTTGTGAAGCTCCAGAAACGGGACATCGATGGACAGATTCGTGGGGACTGCCTTTCGCCCCGAGCAGACTCGGCCCGAGGCTTTCTTTCAAGCTCCTTTGCTGCGACAGGAGTGCCACGATACTTTGGCTGACGCCACAAACAAATGTTCAAGGTTTCAAGTTGTGATTGTTCAAGTTGTCATTTAAAGCGTTTATGGGCTTTGTTTGTTTCTTGATCAGTTTTTGGCTGGTGCTCAAACTAAAAGATAATCAAACTCAGTCACCAGCGCTGCAGCCGGGCCAGTCCATCTGGGCGGAACCCTCTTGAAAGCGCAGATGATGTCCTTGGGGCCTGCTTCTGAGGGTTGAAAAGGGCTCCTAGGCGGGAGAGTCTCCAAAGGTAGCCATGGGCTTGCCGAGGCGAGGCAAATAGTTGTTCACTGTATTCCTTTCTCAGGTGACGGCGCGAGAACAAGCAACGCAAGTCAATTGGAACTATCAGCTTTTGGGCCAGGCAGGATCCTTAGGTCTGAGAGTGGGTTCTTGGCCTGGTCCCGAAAGCTTTGGCCTGGTCCCGAAAGCTTTGGCCTGGTCCCGAAAGCTTTGGCCTGGTTCCGAAGGCTTTGGCCTGGTCCCGAAAGCTTTGGCCAGGTCCCGAAAACTTTGGACACTTTGAAAGCCAGCGGTTGTTTGAACATGGTGTCTTTTGTTTGCTGACTTTTCAGCGTGTGTCTCGGGGCGAGGGGTGCTGTCAGTGACAGGCTGGCTATGGGGGCGTGTTTGATCCAGGTTGCTGGGATGAGAACAGACATGTATCATATTTTCCCATGCGATTCTCCATGCGTTGGTGTCCATTATGATCATATATGATCATGATCATGATGGTGGTGGTGGTGATGGTGGCGGAAATCATCATGGTTATGATGAGGACTGGGCCAAGGGCTCCAACTCGATTCCGGTGCATGTCGCCAATGCAGGGTGCGTGCGCCAGGACGGTCTGAGATGCCCATGGCGCCCCAGGAGAGGCTTTGGGTCGGAACAAGGCTTCACGGTTCTTGTCACGCAGACGGCTAAGTTGCTGGATGTTGGAAGGCCAAGGAGCTGGGTTTTCCAAATTTGCCTTTGAAGAGGGAGCTTTTCGCAGCTACCAGGAGATTTTGTAAGGACATGGTAGCTGAACACGCCCTCTTTCCATCATTCATGGTAGGGGGCATGATAACTATGGAAGACTACCATGCTTTTGAAAAGGCCCCTTGTCCGCTTCCATGATTGCTGGAAGTAGAATCCAAAAACGCAACTTGTGGAAGAATCTCCTTTTCTGGATTGGACCCCTTTTTTTGCTTTCCACATATGAATTAGCAGGGTGAACCTGCCCTTCCTCCCACCAACTTGAACAGAGCTTCCTTCAAAACAACCCTTCTACAACCCTCACCAGCACCCAGCAAAAGATGTTGTGTCACACTCCCCGGTCTCTAATAGCTAAAATCAACCTCTGTAGCTTTTGACTTGGAAAAACGGGGGTCCGCGTTTAGGAAGAATTCTACATCCTCCAAGCCGTCGAGATGGGAGTGTCACCTTGAAACTGCAAGTTTGCACCTCAATCCTGCGATCACTTTTGAACATTGTTCCGCTACTTCTCAAGGTTCGCCAAATATGGACCAGAATCAACACACCATTTTTGGTTGGAGAATCAGAAGCTGGGCTATGAGCTAGTTGTTCACAGCGCAGCAGAAATGACAATTGCTGTAATGCCTTCTGACCCATCATGTAGACAGGATTTGGAGGGAACTGCAATGGAGCTTCCCCACAAGAAGGGTCAACTTTTCAGGAGACCATGTCTTTGGAGACTTCGCCGCTGTCGGATCGCAGGGACCCCCGGAATGTCCAAGCAGTTCAGTGGCAAGAAAGGGTGGCTCCAAGTCGGCAAGTTGGCTGCACACAATGACAGCCAGACAAGAGGCAAGCCTGCCATGCAGTGCTTATGGCCATGGTATTTAGGCAGCCTGCATGCAGCAAAAGGTATTGCAAGCAATCTGTGGTAAGGCGTGCTTGCCCAAATTTCTGCGGAATACGCGGGCAACGTCTTGCGTGTCCCAAGTTTTGACTTGTTTGGCCAATCCACTCGAGAAGGGTGAACTGGCAAATTTCCATGTGGTCCTTTAAACAGAAATGTGTTCCAGAACTAGCCAGGAGCCGCTGTGAACCACTCAGGAGCCATTTATTCGGAGAGGCCCAACGCTTGCAGCTGTTGTGGAAAAATATTTGGGTAAAATGAGAAGCTGTGAACACCAGCTTTTAACATTGCCAACTGTTGTGGCCTTCCAAACGCTCTCGCCCGAGGCTTCCTGTCCACCTTCGGTTCCACCGCAGGCGTGCGCTCAAGGGTGGTGTCGACCTTTGGCCACCTTTGCGGTTGTACTTTCCCAAGGGGTGACTACAAATGAACCCTCCAAAAGTGATGTCAGTTGCCCGCACGGGAGCCGCCAATCAAACTTGTTCAAGCTTGTTGGAGCCTCTTGGAATAGATGTTAAAGGCGGTAAGACCCTGGAAATATTTCCGAGCCTCCTGCACTCCCCCGCCATGACAGATCTTCAGCATTCTTCTATAAACCTTCCTAAGAAGGAGAAAGTCTCAAGAACCTTCCCAGAGTGTTGAAGACAGACCTGGTTGTGACCCTAACTAAATGACTGCTGGATCCAAGTATCATCTGCCAGGGCCATGCGATGCAGCCAGGTTGGGTTGAAATGGGGTCTACGAAAGTGATGGTCGTGAAAGGAACTCAAAGGGGCAGTCAACCAAGAGGAGATCGATCTAAGCAGGTTGGTTTCCATGCAAATCTGCAGCGTACTGCTTTGTCGTGAACATGAAGGCCACCCTTAAAAGTCATGAATGTTGAGAACGCACCATGTCCACTTTTCATGAGTACAGCACTGCAAGCTTCATTTGCAGGCAAGGCTTAGTGGTATGAGCCCTGGTTTCGCACCTCCGAACCATGCCAATTCAACCCCCTGCCGGCTCCTGGGTCCAGCAAAACTTCAGGGTCCTAAAGCAGACCCCAACTGCGCAGCAGTGGCACCCACTTGTTTTGAGGTGTAGGGTTCCTTGCAACAGAGACCTGGAAGTTCAGGATTTTCTGCCCAACAAGCCCTGTCCCTTATGTTTCTGTTGTCTAAAGACACTTGCTGAAAATCCACCAAACTTCCCCAGAAATAGCTCCCCTTTTGGATTTTTTGGCTTTTTTGGGGTCCCCTTGTTTTCCACTAGCCAGGCACACATATAGTCCTAATTCCAGGCAAGCAACCAGGTAACAGGTCGAATCCCACTGGATTCACCGGGGCCCGCGTGTTGCAGGTGGTCCCTCCATGGCATTGGCGCCAGAAGAGCCCCAGGCCGAGGACCGACGCGTCGCGAGGGTTGCTAAGCCTCCTCGCGGTTGAGCGTCCCATGTGTCTTCCTTTTTTGGGGACCAGTGGTTTTGGTTCAAAGGCGAGGCAACTGCCTATCCCACCGAATTCTGATGTCCACCAGGCCGTCATGAGGCTTGGTCCACATTTCAGACTTTAGTCAATTTGGGAACGCCAAGTTTCGGGGGAAAAAAGAACAATGAGTGTGGCTTATCTGGCTGTGTCATGGCGACATGCCTTCAAGCTGGCTCGTGACCAAAGGGCCAGCCGCCATTGCCAACATTCAAGGCTGCGCCGGAAACCGACATTTCCAACTTAAAAGGGTCCGTTCCCAGGTGTCCGAAGAGTTCCGGAGGGTTCTGAGATGTTCTGGTTCCAGAGGTTTCCACCAAAAAGCAGCAAAGAGTTTCCACAGGGTTCGGAGGGGTCCAGTTGCTGGATAAGGCGCCGCAAGGTTTCGGAAATGTCCAATTCAAAGTTTAGGCTCAGGAGCATCCAGATTGGAGCAGCGGCATGGGGTTCCGAGGGTCCAGATGTAGCTGGAGATGTTTCCAGGAATCTCAGCAGGTCATGTGGATAGGACACTTTTTGGTGCGAGCAAACCATGGAATTTGCGTATAACTTGGAAAGACGAGCTCACTACTGTGGATGGACGCAACCCTGGAATGATGGTTCCCCTGTAAGTACCAACAAACAATGGTTTCTGATGGTTTCAAAGTGGTGCAGGGCTTTTTCCATCCACAGTATGACGTAGGTCCTTTTCTTTACTTGGGATCCGGATTTCAAATTTGGAGTTCCTCCAGAGTTTGCAGATGGAATCTATAATTGAACCACGGCCTGGGCTCCCGCGTGGGACCAGACAGTGCGTTTTTGGAGAACAAGGTAAGCCCAATCATGGCCATATATATATATATATATCTATATACGAATGGAAGGCGCGGCAGGCCTTAAACCATCCAACCAATTTTGTTGTAGGGGCCCTTCAGCTTACCCTCTCCCGTGGCTCTCTATCGGGAAGCCACATGCCGTTGGGCTGAGCTCCAGGAGCCACTGCAAGCGGAGCGCGAAGCGCCTCAGGCGGGGCTGAGGGGGGGCTGAGAGGCTCGGCAGCAATGTTTCTAATCCGGGGCACCGGGCACGTGGCTTCAGGCTACAATCGGGTGGATTCCTTTTTCTTTCACCCTCAAAACCATCCACAAGGGGCTCCATGTTTTTGAGAAACAGCCATCTAAGGGAGGGCACCATGGAATCACATGTCAACCTTCACCTTGTCAAAAGCTTGGACCGGGGACATGCCTCTGGCTTGCCTCTGGTTTTGCTGGGCACCGGGTTTCCGCGAATGCTTGACCTGCAGAGCTACGCGGAGCTTTTGATCGGAGACGTCAATGTCCTTTGAGGTTCTGCAAGCTGGCATCGTCGTTCATACAGGAGTTGCAATCACCAGCGGAAAGGGAAAAATCAATTTTAAGCGGCTTGACTTTTGGTGTGCGGTTCAAAGAGCGAAATCTGCCGAAGGGGTGGGTTCGTGTTTTGTGTGAAGGTATCTTTTTGGGGTTGTATTGCAAATCCCGAGCAAGGCATTCATGTTTGAGGCTGCAAACTGAGAGCACATGGAAATCCGACCAAACAATGACTCGCCAAAGGTCCTGAACGCGACTCACACATTTCCCCATGGCCTTTGACAGTCCCGTGGAAATTCACTGGCGGTTTGGGAACACACCGGAGCTGTGCAGGTGGAAAGCGCCCCGGCCAAAGTGTTGGCTTCGGAGCCGAAGCCAAGAGCTGAAGGAGAGGGAAACTTACCACCTGACCCAACTTTTGACGCCTCCATGAAAAAAAGAGAGCTTCCAATGCCAATAGCCTTTCCTATGTTTTTTCGGGCTTCTTACATCTTCCCCCGCTTGCCAATTGAAACTTGTGGTGTGGTTTGCGGATGAAAAAAGAACATGTCAGGTGCATTCAGGAGCCCGATTTTTCCACAAGACCCTGAAGAATCCATGGGCCGGCTTTCCTCATTCATGGCGTCCTCAACTGATCTGCAACGGTTCAACACGATCCTTCCAGGCGACGGGCCAGGCGCTTGGCTTTAGTGGGCGATCGCATGCCAACTCGCTTGGCCGATGCTATACGGCAAGCTCACCTGGAAGAAGCCCACTATGATGTGGGGCTTTTACTTGAGGATAAATTAGTCCTGGAACAAGCTCACTATGATGTGGGCCTTTTGCTTGAGGATAAGTTAGTCTAAGTTTTGGAAGTACGTCAATCAGTCGAACTTCGAACACAATTCCAGCCGCTGCGCCGCATGTCAAAAACACGGCCCAGGGGCAACTCGAACACTGTCACAGATGCGCAGCTCAGCCGAGAGATTGGATCGAAGAGCCGGAACTGCACCCAAAGCGGTCGTGCAAAAGTTGTGTGCGGCGCCTTTAGGCACACAAGGGGTTCGATGCTATTTCATGTACCTATACATCCAGACAATGCCGGTACTCGATTCATCAAATTGTAGCAAATACACTACCGTTTTCCCAAAAGTATTCTCCACCCCCAAATTGAACAGGGATACCTAATACAATAAAGTTTGAGTTACTCGAGAAAAAAACAAAAACAAAAACCATGAGAGTTACTCCGTGAAACAGCACCCCCATACTGCCGATGTCCTTGCATATATCGTTCATGCAAAAGTGCTCAGCCGCCAAATTTCCAGTTGGGTAGCACATGGTCTTGCAGAAAACAAGCAAGCTGCTCTGGACATTTCCTGCGCTATCCTTCCCGAAATATTTGCAGATGTTGTTTCCAGAGCCCACTGCACATAATACCAACACCTATCAGTGGATGTACTTAGTTTCTGCGCGTCCCGTGTGCCGTGCGCAACCACCGGCTCGCGCCTCCAAACGGACCCGCGAAGGGATGGTACCTGCGCATCGCGAAACCCCTTCAAATTCGAAGCGGAAAGCTTTTGGGCGTAGACCTTGGCAGTCTGCCCCAGCATTGTGCGCCATGATCAAACTGCTCGTACATTAAACTTGGTCAGGTTCAGAAGTGAAGGCACGTGGCTTCCTGCTCACTCTTGCAAGCAACCACCCATCCCGGAACCGCTGATTTCCTTGCATATCCTTCATTAAAAAAGAAGAAGTTCAACGGCCGACAAATGTACAAGCATGTTGCACATGGCCACCCCAACAACTCAACAGTAGACATGCAAAAGGGGTACCCAGCTGTGCAAATGTATCTCCGCCCCGGCCCTACAGTAATTCCCACATTTTTTTCTCATCCACTAGTTCTTTCTTCTGAGTACTGAGAAAGTCACAACACCCATCCCTGAAACTGCTGATTTCCTTACATCACCTTTATATAAAAGCGCTCAGCCCACCGACGGGTAGTTGACTATGCTCGAGAGGTTCCCCGGTTGCCAAATAGCCCTTGTTCACTCCAGAGAAGACCAACAGTGGGTGGCTAATAGAGTGGGCTACGTCGTTATGAGTATGTCTTTCCCGTGGTCATGACTGTAGTTGCTTAATGCCCACACTTCATTCTAAGCATTCAGCCGTTTGCATCAGTTTTCTGTTTTCTCCAGGCCCCCTGTTTAGCATCCAGTTCCACTCAATTAAAGCAGACATTGCAGGAGCGCGCCCAGAGAAGAAGGAACGGACAGAGGCTGGAATATGAGCTTCGCACATGATGCAGAAACATCCCCTCCCTTGCAGAACGGCGGTCTGGGTTCCAAGTGTACCTTTCGCAGTGAGTGCTTACAGTTGGCAAACGTGACTTTTGGTTGGCAGGTGCCCTCAGTGTAGTTAGTCACCTTACCAGGACTCCCTCAACTCGTGTTGGTGACTCGCAGTAGTTTGCGCAGACACCTTCGTTCGACCAGAGCATACCTTGCTGGAAGCGAAAGATGGCAATGGTTCAAAACCACTGGGATCCCATTTTGGGATAGGTGCACCACCCATTGTACTCGGGATTTTAGTGGGGATTGGGATGTTCACTGGGAGCACGAATTGGGTTTTGAGCCATGGCCAGATCAGTTGACATCTGCAGTTCAGGTCCCACAAGGCCAACCTGTTAGAAGTGAGTCGTGCAACCTCATTTGAGGCGTGGAAGGCTTGTAGGGCTTAAGGATCTGAATGGGTGGAGTCAAAATCAGGGAACGCAAACAAATGTCCTTTTTGGTCTCCCGTCAAGCCAACCTGAAAGGAATACCCTGAAACAAATCAAGCCTCAACCCAGAGTTGTGTTTCTCTAGAAGTACGAAGCAAGCATATCATTGCCGGGTTTGCTTTCCACAGACGCAGTACACACAGCACCCGTAGGGGTACCTCAAAGATTGAAGGGGCTTGCAGTCGTGCCATGCTGGAAAGGGGTAGTGGGGCAGCTGCGGAAATCATGTCCTTGGCAGCTGGGCGATGATTCCGAAGCAGTGAAGTATTCGATTGCCGCGCGGGTGCAAGCGTTGCATTGATGACGGCGTCTCGAGATGTCACTGAAATCGAGGCCTTGGTTATTCTATGTGTGTTTTGGGCGCGTGCAAAAACCATCAGATGCAGAGTAAAAGGGTTCCTGCGATTATTGCAGGGCGGTTTGTCCAGACTGACATTTTAGCCGCCTTCTTGCAATCTTGTGTATGGACTTCTTGCCTCAACTGCCCTGGCCCTGGCTTCAGCTGTAGATTCCCGCTTCGCCGGAAAGTGCATGCATGAGTGAAGTTGTTGAGGCCTCACCAGGAGAAAAACAACTTTGCAAGGATTGCCTTTTCATGGCGACATTTCATGCACATCCAAGTATTGTTTGCCCACTGACAAAGAGGTTGGGCTGGGAATAGAATTTCCTTTGAATGAAAAAACACATTTGGGCTAGTGGGCTGATGTGTAAAGGCGACATCTCAGGAGCCCGAAGGGGATCCGCGACCTGCATGAAGTTTTTCTCTCAGATAGGGATCCATGTCAGATCGGTGATGTGTGTGCTTGTTTGCTTCACTTGGCATGGGGTCTTGAGAAAGGGCCACCCCAAAAAGGGATGGTTTCCTTCGAGGTTCACTTGAAACCAACCCCGAGATGGTTAGGCTCAATGGGCGAACTGGACGCACGTCTGTGAGATGGAAAAGGGTAATTGCGCAGGCCCCCTTTCCCACTGAAAAGTAGTCTTGCAGAAGTGGGCTGTGCACCGAGCCATGTTTGTTGGTGGAAGGTACCCTCCAAAAACACGGTACACATCCATATGTGTGACCAACACTTTGCCACGCTTCACCAAGCTGCTTGCCCAAAAATCCCCTTTGATGTCCCTCCAATCGTCCCTTTTCACCCGCAACAGCTCCACTTGCCGGGGGGCTCCCTCCCCTCCTGGATCCCTCACGCGCCATGGCCGCCTGCGCGGGCGGCAGCGTGGATTGGCTCTTCCTGCGGCAAGAGCTGGAGGCGTGGAGCGCCGGGCCTTCAGACGCGCGGCTTGGGCCCGGAAGGCGATCTTGAGGCTTGGGGGGATCTAGGGTCTTTGTTTCTTCTCCCCACTTCTGCTTTCCCCCCCCCAACCGTAAAAAAAGGAAGGAGCGTTTTTGTTTTTCCTTTTTTTTTTCCGTCTTGTTCGTCTTGCCTTTGCTTCAGGGTTGTGGGATCAATGATCAAGGGGTTTATTTTCCACTTCTGTGATACAAGGGAATCTCCCCCTCTTTAACGGGGGGAATATATAGTCTTTGGGAAGCCGTTTTTGGGTTGTATCACGGAAGTGGTCGCTTCCCAACAGCCCTGATCTTGAGGGATCCCCCCAGTGGCTTCTTTGTTACTGGGGTCTCCTCCTATAGAGAAGGCTATGAACCTGAACCAGGAAAGCAATTGTTTGAACTGCAGATGTGGGTCGGGTAGTTGGGCTTGTGGGTAATTGATTTGTATTGGAGAGGTTCGTGTTTTCGATTTCCTCCGAAAGAGGATTCGACGGGGCATGTCCTCGAATCCGTGGCTGAAACCTTGAAACTGGTTGGACCCCTTGGAAGTCGCATGTGCAACAAAGTCTAGAAGTTGCCATGGCCCTATGACCTCGGCTCCTGGCTCTCGGAGTGCTGCTTGGATTGTTTTGTCAAGCTTTTGGGGATTTGCGGGTAGGTTCCAGCAAAGGCTTTCGGATTCGCTGGATAATTCTGCACTAGCTGCAGCAAGCCCAGCGGGTGTAGGGATGCCGGGCCTCATGTCACTCAGGTTCCGAAAATATCAGTGACTGGAACATCAGTGCAGATGGCTCGATGTCCCCTTCGATTTACTTCTCCGCTTTTGTGGAACTGGTTTCACTGTTTGTCCTCCCCTGCTTGGGCGGTTGAATCATCACAATGCTTGGTCCATTTGAATGCAGCTTTCTTGGGGGGCGATGTGAGTTCCTCTTACAAGTTGAATCCGCACTTTCAAGAGGCCTTTTCAAGAGGCTTTAGGCTGCCAACAGGCTCCCATCGTCCAGGATTCTGGCAAAGAGGGTAGTCATAAGACTACACACGGCACCCGCTTCCAAGAAAAGGTTTGTAAGGCCTGGTGAGGCGTACCAAGGCGCAACCCTTCCTCCTTTCCAGCCTCCGAACTGCATGGCGCCGATTCTAGTGGCAGTTGTCAAAGCATCGCAAGGACCACCGCCATGCACTCAAGCTGCACCCGGCTTCAGTTCCTCGCGGCTTCAGGGGTAGCTCCCTTACGGTACGCACTGAGGCCATAGGTGTCCTGTTTGGTTGTTTTGGTGAAAAATAGATGGCCCTGGTTTACGTGGTGGCTTAATCATCTCATCTATTTCCCCTAAAGGACTCTGACTGAGGCCCATTCGATGGATGACACTCTGCATCTTCTCCAACTGGATTGCGCGGATCACCCAGGCGCCTTGGGCCATTCTCGGAACCTGGGGACGCGAGGGAACATGCGGAAACGCAGGGGAAACCCCACTGGTGGCCTCGTGGGAAGCAGAAAACGTATAAGGAAACCGGTGACTAGATCTGTGCCCATGGAATGATCATGTGACCATGGATCGCATGTCTGGCGTCCGCTTTCCCCAAATGGCTTTGGCCACTGCCCCCCCAAAAAAAACTCCCAAAGGGAGAAATAAGGGTGCTTCCAAAATTGGAAAGCAACGCTGCACTTGGAAAAAACAAATGCCCGCAAGTTTTGGAAGTCTACTGTACCAGTTCCAAGTTTTGGGTTTAAATCGTGTTCTCAGACTTTGACATACCAGACAAAACAGGGCTTTCCTGTTGCAGCCCACTCCCAGGTCAGTTGCCTACTTTATGGCAAGCTGACGGATTCGGGATAAAAAGAGCTAACACAATGATGCAGGTCCTTTACTTGGGATCATTGGGGATCTTTTAGTTCACTTTATTTGCTGAAGAATCTGATTGTGTTCCACCATTATCCATTATGTTCCCCTGTTGGTTTTACGGGCGATCTATCACTGGGCGAATCGTAAGCAAATGGATGTTCAGGTTGTACTTTCATTTGCCGAGGAATGTGTTTTTTTCTGATTTTCCCTTGTTGGTTTTTAAGGGATTTTGTCCCTGCAGGAAAAAACGATGCTTATGTGGATGGAGTTCGTTTGTTGGCTGTCAGGTTTGGGAGGGCTGTCTGGTGGGCGTGGTCACAGCAGTGCTGCACGCCTCCTTCTGCAGCGAGCCGGGGCCGGCCAGACTCCAGCTCTTCCAGCCGCCCGACAGTCGGCAGGCACCCACACCCCCAGAGTGCCATACCATTCCCCCCCCCCGACTCCCCAGATTAAACGGGTATGAAGCAGAATCAAACGTTCCATTCCGCACAGCTCCCGTTGTAGAATCAAGGGAGGTTTGGCAGCCCTGTCGTCCATTTCTTGGAATCTGGCTGAGGCATGAAAGACAAGTTTCCTGTAAAAGGGACCCTTTGGCAAATTCAAGAGTTAGTGAGCAAGAGAGTATGTATGGAAGGAGGGCAGGGGGCCTGCGACTTACGGAGGCTCACGCTAGACTTTGGCTTGGATTTGTTTCTTGTTTTGCGGGGTGTCCCTTTCAAAGTTGCAAATCTAGTGCATTGACGCATTGGAGGCTTACCTGTCATATCAACCATCAACAAAGATGTGGCAAACAGGTTATCCGCTTATTGGTCTCTTGTCAGTCATGGCCGGGGTTGAGCAACACTCATGGCCTGGCGCGAGTGAGGCAAGCCATCCACGATGTCAGCCTTCAAGGCTGGCCAGGACGGGCGGGGGGCAGGATGCTTCAGATGCGTTTCAACCACCAAACTGGCCACCTGCATTCAGGAATGAACCATAACGCCCATTTGCTTAAGAATATGTTTGATTTTGCCCTGTTGGTTCTAAAGAACATCTATCACTACTGGAAGTATGTTTTTGCTTTTGGCAGGGGACTTCAGCAAAAGGATATTGTTTAACCAATCTGTGTCACTTGTTGAAACATGATGAACCACGAATCAAGAAAGTTTGTTTTTGTTTGGCCGCTCGGTTTGGCTGGTCACAGCAATGTGTGGAGCAGGGGCTTTCCCCATACAAAAACCCTTTGCGGGTACTACAAAATGATGTAGGGGGGCTGCGGGTGGCTGGTGTGAAATGCATGGTTGCGCAAGCTGCTGCTTTGCGTTGCTGCTTTATTGCGTGTGGCTGCGGGGAGCCTCTCGCAAGTGGCGGAGAAGCCATAGGGAGCGGAATGATTT